CAGCAACAATTACCTCTACGACAGAACAACTATCCTTTGAGTTCCAACATGATGTGACATTGCAAGCTTTTGTGACCGCAATTGTAAGAGTTTGACGCACAGCCTTCGAAAGGCATTGCACGAACGAGCATGGCCACTGCGTCTTGCATGTCGACGACTCGCTCACTCCAGTCGCACCTTGGCCGTCGTGTGCTTGGTGTGTTTCTGCTGGGTTTTCGTCGCCTTCTTCATCTTGTGAATCGTCTACAAACATGGCAGAGTTCCTCGACAAGATGACAAGGCATGCACGTATACTTCCAACACGTTGTTGCCGGAGGTGGCGAGCGCCGACGCCACGACGCTTTGGTCGTGCACTGTCATCCCTGCCGTCGCCCGAAACAGCTTCTGCCGCACCAGGGACGGGGCTACATCACCAACGAGTGAGTGTTGCCGACTTGATGATGCAACAGCGATCCCAGGACGCACGTGCAGGCTTGGCATCGCGTGCCATGAGAAAGAAGTATGAAACGGAATGTGCAGTTACAATCCATCGTGGACACGATGCCCAGGGTTGCCATTCACATGTTACTGCATGTCGGCTCCGGGGCCGCCTCTAAGCGTGCTCCTTGCTGGCACCTTCGTCCGTCGTGGGAGAGCCTTCCCAACGTCGTAAGATGGGGCGACCCACCACCACCACAGGGCGGCGCACCGGACGATACACTGGCACGATCGGCGGTGGGACCACAACGACAGGGCGGTAGATGGGGCGGTAGATAGGGTGCAACCACAACTCGCTGTCGTCCGTTGACAGTGGAGCTTTGTCCGACGGCTTCGACATCGGTGCTTGAAGAACAGGCATCGTCGCAGACGCCAACGTCGCGACCAGCGCAAGTGCAAACACAATCGACGCGTTCATGGCAAATCGCAACATGCCCTTGTGAAAACACCGAGTACAGGTGGTTGGGTTTCGCTATGAAGTGCTTGCCACTAGATGGGCAGTCCCGAAGCATCGCGCGCGGTTGACAGCCACGACTGAGACACGGGATTGAGGGGTCTGGACTCGATGGCGGTAGGATTTCTGCGGGGTCAAGCTGCTTGTGGTGGTGCTGGTCTTGGGCATGCACCCCGGCACGGATTGACTGTGTCGGGAGTGTTCAAGCAGCTTGACCACGCGGAAATCCTACCGCCATCGAGTCCTGACCCCTCAATCCCGTGTCTCAGTCGTGGCTGTCAACCG